TTGGGTTGAGAACACTTCTATTTCCTTTACTTGAGTAGTATGTATATAAATCCACCCAGGTACATACAGGTTCAAGGCTGAGTTCTGGAAGGAAGTATGTTACAGGGTCTAGGCTGCCAGGACTCTCATCATGATGTGTGTGTGTGTGTGTGTGTGTGTGTGTGTGTGTGTGTGTGTGTGTGTGTATACGCCTAATTGTTGCATCACGGAAGCCTCTGAGACACCCTCCCACTAAGTAGCACATCACATCAGGGTGCTCTGTGTTTTGAGGGTAAATTAAAGAAAAGAGGGTCGCTCTAACATGCGATTCAGACTCTGGCAGCAGGGAGGAACGATTCTGTGAACTGAACCTTGACAGCCATGCAAAGACATGTTTATTGATTGTTACATAAAAGCCGTTTTTGGGGTGAAACAAGTTCCTCATACCAAAGTCCCTGATCTAATCTGTATGTTTTCTGAAGGAAACCATCTCCCGCCCTGCAGCGTTAGTCCTTATTGTTTACTGTTTGCGGGACCCAGTAATTCAGGACTCCTCCCGGTGTGTCAGGGCCACCTTACGAACAACACCCGCAAAGGCTGTAAAGCTCCTCCAGAAAAACAACTCTGTCGACAACAGAAACAATCTCCGTTTTCCACAATGATTTCTGCAAGGCCTAAGTACTTGTAGAAAACAACTGTTCATTCTGATGTTTACCCTAGATACAGTGAAAACAGCTACTTCATTCTGATGTTTACCCCAGATACAGTGATTCTGCTGGAGCGCCACTAAGGTTTCGTTCCTTTTCCTTACCCACATTCTGAACAGGTTAAGAAACCTGGCAGGTCTCAGTGGTAGAGCACTTCCCTAGCTTTAGTGAAGCTCTGAGTTCAGTTCCCAGAACTCTGGCAATTAGATTAAATTTAAAAAAATAATTTTTAAAAACCTAGAAGAGAAAGGCAGGACTAGATATTTAGCTTGATGGTATAGTACTTGCCTAGCACATGCAAGGCCCTGGTTTCAATTTCTAGTGTACACAAAACATACACACACACATACAGAGAGAGAGAGAGAGAGAGAGAGAGAGAGAGAGAGAGAGAGAGAGAGAGAGAGAGAGAGAACCAGGCGTCTACATGCCTCCGTTATTACTAATAACTCCAGATGAGAGCTGGAAGAACTTGCTGCCTGAACCCCAGAATCAGGAAGATTCCCACCAGTGCTCAGCAGGATGGAGGTGGAAAGAGGCCAACACCGAGTCTCCTGCTAGAAGACACCCAACACCACGGAGCAGCGGAGAGCATGTGCAGGCCTTGGCTGGCCCTGGCCCCAGAGAATACACGGAAGAGCAGGGATGAACATTCCCAGCTGCTTCTCCACGTTTACTAATGAACTATGTCACTCTACCTCCGGGGTTGGAATGTATGTGCAGGCGTGGGGATAGGCTGGGGGTGGGAGGGAGGGGGATGTTAATTAGGCTCCCTTTGCAGGAAGAAGCACCAGGAGTGTGAAGACAATGTGCCTGCCCTCTAGTACAAGCACGCTGAATCCTATGAAGACAACAACATTGATTTGCACATCTGTCTTCTACTTAACAACTGTGAGCCTCTGGGGGGGGGGGGACGCCTGCAGTTACCGGTCTTTCTCACGGTCTTGTACTCAACACATTCGTTTTTGCTGAACGAGGGACCCGCAGTTCAGAGAGGTTCAAAGCTCTTCCCCATCCACTTACAGTGGAAATTTAGGCAAATCCTCTACCTAGAAGTTGTAGAGTGATGGCCCCCCCAACCACACCTGACTTGGGCCTGATCTGGACTGGTCAAAAGGCACCTCAAACGTTTGGAGATCTGGAGTTGGCAAGATAGTGCAGTGGGCAAAGGTGCTTACTGCCAAGCCTGGCAAGCTGAGATTGATTCCTGGAACCCACAGGGTAGCAAGAGAGAACTGACTCCCTGCAAGTTCTCCTCTGACCTCCACACAGGCGCTTTCGGACATGGAACCCACCCACACCCCCTACACCCTCATACACACACACACACACACACACACACACACACACACACACAC